TTTATTTCCCTGGGCAGAAACACCCTCTGCTCATGGAAAAAGAAAAAGGGCCATGATTTTTCCTGGGCCTATGTGGTGTTCCTCCTGGAAATGGTTGGTTAAGTGAGTGATGGCCTGGGGGAGGGTCTGCTCCCTTTGCTTACTTATGTTTCTGTTCAGCATGGTGTTACTGGGCCCGGGGAGCGGGGAAATGCTTCTTTTCCAAGAGTCAGGTTGTCGGTCCTCACTGGCACATTTGTCTCATTCGTTTCCTGTTAAACGTAGGCACAGGTTCAGAAAACTAAAGACCTGCTCAATAACGTGGCCTCTGATGAAGCTAACTTAGAAGCCAAAATTGAAAAGAGGAAATTAGAGCTGGAAAGAAATCAGAAGCGACTCCAGACTCTGCAGAGTGTCAGGTAGGTGTGAGCACCTGGAGAATGATAGAAAGCTGTCTCTGAAAGTTAAAACAGGCCAAGGGGATTTGTTGTCTGTGATACTAACTTTTTGAGTACTGAAAAAGCCTTGCTTCAGGATGTACGTGTGTTTCTTGTTCTAGCAAGCACACTGCTGAACTCATTCTCTTTACTGCTTTCCATATGTCTGGAAAACTGCTTAATTCCTGAACTGCCCTTCAAGCTTTTGTAGCTTCTTGGAACGCAAGGCAAAGTAAATCCAGATGGAGAGAGTTTTACAGGGTTTGGCTCCTAAGATCTGTGTCTTGCCATAAATTACGTGGAAACAGAAACATACTCCTGTTTCTTGGTTTGAGTAGATTGTAGACTTTTATAATTCCTCACGAGTAATTCATCTTTCTTCTGACCTTCCTTTTCAAATCTGTGCCTCACATTTTGTTGTGTGTACTCTTTCTTCTTCTCCCTTCCCTCCCCCTCCCTCCTGTCCTCCCTCCCCCCCCCATTTTTTTTGTACCCTCCTCCCCTTGCTCTGTATGTATCTCTGTTGCTCTTTGTCCCTTTTCATTCTCCCTTTATTTTTCTGTCTTCACTCCTTCCTCTGTCCAGCTGTTGCATTTGCTCTGAATGTGACTTGCTTTTTTGAGATCCTGGTGCGTGGCCCATGCTCTGGCTCCTTGTCCTGTGATCTGTGGGAAGGCAGCCCCTGGGGACAGCAGACCGTAACCCAGGGAGCATCAAGGCTTCCTCCCAGCCAAGGGCAAGACCGTGCCCCTTCTGCCTCTGGAATCAGGGCTGCCAGATGGATTTGTTTCATTTAAAAATTCTGCCTTTCAAGTGTAAATTCATTTTTGTTAAGCCTCATATCTTTTTGTTTCGTTTTATTTAGGGTTTTTTTTGTTTGTTTGTGTTTTTAGATAAGGTAGGTAATTCAATTGATTGATTGACTGACTGACTGATTGATTGATTTAATGGAGGTACTTGGGATTGAATCCAGGACCTTGTGCTGAGCTATACTCCACCCGCCCCCAGATCTTTTTAATAGAAAAATTTCTGTTTTTCTCTAGTACAAAAGATTATAAATTGTTTTCTCATTTATCTGTTTATATTTTTAAAATAACAGAGTTTTCCCTTTAAGATCAATATTAAGAGAAAAAAATAAATTCAGCAAATGAGTTGAAACAGGTTTTTATGTTATGGCTTTGTTTTTAAATTTTATATTGTTTAAGAACTTAGCTTTGTTGGGGGAGGCACTGGGTATAGCTCAGTGGTAGAGCACTTAGCATGCACAAGGTCCTGGGTTCAATCCCCTGTACCTCCATTAAAACAAAACAAAACAAGCAGCTTTAATTTGTAGCAACCTATATTTCCCTTTTTAGAGGATTGATTTATTTGAGAACATCCAGTTAGCAGACTGTTATGCCCAACTAAGATAATGCGCATGTTTAATTTATTGACTTACTATTTTTTAATTGATTTTTAGAGATGTGTATGGTGTATGATTATTTTTTAAGTCTGTATCGAAATCTGTGCTATATTGAATGAGAAAAAAGACTGCAAGGCTTCATTTATACTATTATACTTAATGTTTGTTTAAAAAATGCATTCCCGTAAGTATGCATAGAAAAGTCTGGAAAAGATGTGTGTCAGATATTAAGTGCTAACACCTAGCGATGGGATTGTAAAGTAATTTTGATTTCATTCGTCATATTTCCAGGATTATTTCTAGTTTTTACAAAGAGCATATCTTACTTTTTGATTTAAAAAAAAATTAATCTTCATTTTGTGGGCAGGAAAGACAAAAGGGGGAAATTAGCTTTAAGCAGTCACGAGAGTGAAGCGCCTTCTCCAGTTAAAGGCTTACCATAGAAAACCAGGACGAAGTCTGGAGTTCTGAATACCAGTTTCAAACAGCTGGATATTTGTGTATTTGACTAACCTTTCCATTTTAATTTCATTTTGTTGTTCTAGGCCAGCCTTTATGGATGAATACGAGAAGGTTGAGGAAGAGCTGCAAAAGCAGTATGACGTTTACCTGGAGAAATTTCGAAATCTGGCTTATCTGGAACAACAACTCGAGGACCATCATAGGATGGAGCAAGAGAGGTTTGAGGTAAGTGCCGAGCCAGCTCTTCTGTACAGACCGTTCCTTCTCGCGTGTTACTTTGTACTTGTTGACACGTCAGTTTGTAAGTATCATTGTGAAAAGAATGTGGATGAATGTCTTTTCTCCCTGACCAGGCGAGGATTGCTTATATAATTCTTCTGCTTTTTTGGTTGTGTGGCCTGGACTCCGGGGCTGTCAAATCTTTGCTATTCGTTTATCACCAGAGTTTGGTCACTTAGGACCATAGGCAGGGCCAGCACGTGACCTGTGTGCAGCCGCACCCGACTCCAAGCTTACAAGGGCCTGGGCTTGCTTTAGTGCTCTGCTGTCACCATCTTGAAATTCTTAATAAATTTTAACTACATTTTGTTTTGCACTGAGTCCCACAAGTTATGTAAAGTGTGGTCTGGAGGACAGATCTAAAAACTTGCTTGGTCAGTTCACTTTTTAAAGATTTTCGAGGCCTGGTTAATTGAGTAATCCAAACTGGCTTCTCAGGCACTGCTTTATAAAGAGGAATTGTAGTTTACTGATTGTTGTGGGAAATATGTATAACCCCAGAACCTGACTAGCTGTCTTGCACATGCCTCTCATCCCAATGTGTAAGACCATTTAGGAAAGAGTATTTCGGATCCCAGCATGAGCTGATAAATGTGGAATGCAGAGCAGAGGAGGTTGGACCAAGTTGCTATCACTTTTTAAATTGCCCTTATACCTGAGGGATATTTCTGCTTAACCCAGAATAGTCATTTGGAATCAATGTTCATGGTGAAATTGGTCTGCAGTCTCCCTTTCTCATACTGTCCTTGACAGCGTTTGGTATAAAGGTTATCCTGGCCTTCGTACAAACCTGGACATTTGAACTAGGTGATGCTACTTTATTGTCCAGGAGAGCTGGCTATGAGTAACTAACACCTTCGTCTGGACACATTTATCTTGACGAGGAACCTGGTGCCACTCTTGCTACATGGCAGAGGCAGGCCCTGGAGGAACAAGGTCCTGGACTGGTGTGTTTAAGGACATTTTAAACATTGGGTGTCTGAAAAGGAACAGGAAAGAGCCAGTGAGAATAAACTGACTATTTAGTATTGTTGTCTAGGCCTCCCCTGGGGTCAGAGGACGTATCGAAGAAAATGCCTCAGGACGCAGTGGGCAGCCCCAGCTCCTTCTGAGGGTCCCCTTCCCGCCCACCCTCCCCTCAACAACTACCTACTCTGGTTTTCTTCTGTCCTCACGCCAATTCCCTCTGCTTCTCATTCCCGATCCCTCAAAATATTTCATGCATGAAATAATGTTTCCTTTTTAATGTTAGAACAACAACATATTTTTAAAAGCCAATTTCCTCTCCCATCCTCTCTTTTGACAGTAATCAGGTCCACATTTCATAACCTAACCCAAGGGTTAGCTTTCTTTAATCCTCTGGGAATTAGGGCTAGTATTTCTTTCTCTTATCCTAACTTAATCAGTCCTGCCATTGGCATCTTTCAGGGCTAGAATTGTGCAAAGCAAAAAAAAATGATATAATTAAAGTGCTTTATTTTAAGAGCAGGAGGCCTGTACTGTCCCATAGTTGGTGCACCTGTTCCCCTGTCCACATCCCACACAGGCACGCATGACGGGCATCTCGTGTCGTCAGATTGCTTCAGAGCCAGTGAGGTGCAGTGGGAGGAGCGTGGGTCTGGACGCCGGTCAGGCCCATCCTGGGCCAGCTGTGTCATTTCCAGGAACCTTCCTTTGCACAGGGCTGCTGGAGTGATGGCTGAGGAAGGTGTCCAGGTTCCCTCTGCCTGTGTCAGAGTTAGCTTCTGCTTCTGTGTCAGGATTAGCAGTACTTACTCATGTGGTAAAGAGTAATAAAACAGTCCAAAAAAGGGTCACCTCTGGATCTTGTTTTCCCTGCTCCACAGGAAGCTGAAAACACTCTCCGTCTGATGCAGAACAAGCTCAAGGAGGAAGAGAAGCGGCTGCTCAAGACTGAAAGTAAGCTTACGCCTTTCAGACGGATGTGCCTGCTCTGGGTTAGTGTCTTTAGCCTTAGAAAACTTCCATGGATATTTTATTTATTTCCAAAAGGCAATTTTTTCACAATTTTTGTATCAGGTGCCACTTTCATTCACCTAAGTGCTTGAGAGGCTGTTTGAAGTTACAAAGCATTTAAACACATTTGGTTTTCATGCCAACGGAGATACTGTTTTCCCCTGTTGAAACAACACCATTAGTTTGAATTATACATAATTATAAAAGAAAATTTGGTCTTGGAGGTCTGTAGGGTTCCTTGTTTGGGGGCAAACTGAGGGCAAGAAGCATCATAATACTGTGCCACACACACCCATCAAATGTCCCCCAATAAGCCCAAATCGTTCATCAAGGCTCTCACCTGTAGAGAAGTAGGGTCACCTACACGTAAGGCCTAGATTCTGGGAAGGAAGGTTCCCCGTGACTGGTCAGCGCACTTCATCCGTGGACTTCACCAGGGTGTCACGCCAGCCTCGGGAACAGCAGCTGAGCTGGGCTTCGTGCTGGACTGAGCCCTCTGTCTCACAGAACTACTCCTCTTGCTTATTCCTCTTTTTTCATGATGGTGCCTTCTCTCATGCTTGAGGGTGGTGTACCTGGCACTTCAGGGGTGCTCTCTCCCTGTCTCTTCCCTTTGTACCTCCTTCCTGCTGCCCTCGTTCTAGGCCCCTCTCTCCTGACACTCAGGAAACTCTGGAAGGAGAGTAGGGACTGCTGGGAAGTCCTCTAGGGGCAAGTTTAGAAAATACCAAGGGCCTCTCTAGCCAAAGCAGCCCCTCACCTTTATGGTTCCAGGTCAGCCAGGAGAGCCCGAAGCAGCCCTAAGTGATAAGCCTGCATGGAGTTTGTCCCCTTCTGAGAGGCCCGGCACAGGTAAGAGCCCGGCTGGTTGGCTGCGTCCTGCTCTGCCCTTGGACCGGCGCATTAAGACCTCTCCCACTGATCTCGCTTTCTTCTTCCGAACTCAGGCTTTTGTTTTGTGATCTGTAGGTTTGAGATCTCACGAAGGACAGAGATTCTTATGAATGTATGTGGTTTAGTTTGTTCGGAAAAATAATTTCCAGTTGAAATCAACTTAATGAAGGATAGTGCTTAATTAGCTTGCGGTGAGCAAAGAAGTTGGGAAATTTTTATGAAGGATCGTTCTCAGTTCTGTTCATCCCAAGCATTTGAAGATGCCTTGTCTGTCTTCACTTTTCTGCGTATGTGGGAACATTGCCCAGACCACTGGGGTCAGGGAGGAGAGATATAAAGGAAGAGTTTCTGAATTTTTCTCCCATCTGTGAAAGACTTCTCTGAAAGAAAAATCTAATAGTGCATAGACATGAGTCAGGGAAAGAATTAGCAAAATCTGAGAGCTGGGGGGGATCATCTTGTTGAGACCACTGTGCAGGCAGCTGATTCAACCCAGCAGAGCATTACTGAGTGTCTGTTCTGGGCGCTAAGGACACGTCAGTGGACAGCAGACAGGGCTCTTTGTCTTAAATGATGTGACATACTAGCGACATGCTAGGAGACAAATAGTAAGCAGGCTGTTCGTGGAAGGTGAAAGGTGCCATGGGGGAGAAAGTGGGCAGTTCGAAGGGCATGGGGAGGGTGTAATAGAATTGCAGTTTTAACTGGGAGTCAGGGTAGACCTCGCGAGGAGATGCTATTTAAGCAAAGACTAAACCAGTAGAGCTGGGGAGAAGGGAGATACCAAATGAGGGGCGTCCCAGAAAGGCTGGGAGCCCGAGCCCAGGGAGAGGGATGAGTTTTGCTGAGTGAGGAGCTGTATGAACACTCAGGGCTTGAGTGCAGGCAGGTCAGAGGAGCTGGGAAGTGGGTTGTGTGCTTGCAGGGCTCATGTCCGATGGGTACTGTCTGCTCTGATCAGCAGGACGTGAAGTCATCACAGGTTTGGCTTTGGGGGTTGGGAGTGAGGGCTTGGAGGAGGAGAAAGTTTGAGTAATGAGAGATGAGAGAATGCCCTGGGGGCCCCAGCGATTGAAAAGGTGAAGTACTCTTTGGAGATGCCCTGTGGGAAAGGTCAAAGGGCAGCTCTGCATCTTCCCACCATCCTTGTAAACCTTATTGCTGGTGGTAAATTTGTAACTGTACCCTCTGTAGGATTCAAGCACTGTAGCATTAGGAACTTAGCGAATCCTGGGAATTTATAAAACGACCCAGGAGTTTCTAGAAAGCTGCTGAGTAACCTCATTTTTATAGTGTCATAGAGAGCAGATGTTCATGCATTCCATGCACATTGTGTACCTACTGTGTGTCAGCTGTTGTGCTAGAGCACAGCGATGGAAGAGGCCCTCAGGGAGCTCCAGGTCTAGAGCTGCCCCATGGGTACCTGGCCCCGGGCTCGTGTTTTTGAGCGTTTGAAAGATGGCTTGTCCAAATTGAGATGTGTGGTTCGTGGAGACCATACACCAGATTTTGGAAACTTAGTATAAAAGAAAAGTAAAATTACTCAATAATTGTTTACACTGGTTGCTTATCGAAACGACATTTTAGATAGATTGGCTTAAATAAAACATTATTGAAATTAATTCACCTGTTTCTTTTTATTTTAATGTAGTCACTAGAAAATTTTAAATTGCATCTGTGGCTGGCATTATGTTTCTGTTGGACAGGGCTGATCTAAAAGGAAAAACTTACAAAGAAACTTCTGCATAAATTATGGAAACTTCCTATATAAATGGGTGTGGGGTGGTGAGGTGGTTTTGGTGTGAATTTCTCTGATAGCTGATGAAATGGAGCATCTTTTCATCTGCTTATTGGTTGTGTATCTTCTTTGGAGAGATTTAATCAAGTCCTTCGCACTTTTTTTTTTAATAAAAGTAGATTTATTTAGAGAGGTGTACACGAGGTTGGGGGGGTTGGTTAAAGTAAAGGCAGATACACACTCCACAGAGTGCAGGCCATCTCGGAAGGTGAGAGAACAACCCTTTGCACATTTTTAAATTGGGCTATTTATCTTTTTTCTATTGAGTTATATACTCTTTATATATTCTAGATACTACCCTTAAGTGATTTGTGATTTGCAAATATTTTCTGTCATTCTTTGGGCTGTCTTTTCACTTTCTTGATGATGTCAAGTTTTAATGAAGTCCAGTCTATTTTCCCTTTGTTGCTTGTGCTTTTAGTGTCATATTTAAGAAAATGCCGAATTCAAGATCACCCAGATTTACCCCTGTTTTCTTCTAGGAGTTTATAGTTTTAACTCTTGCATTTAGATCTCTGATCCATTTTCAGTTAATTCTGTACATGATGTGATGTAGGGGTCCAGCCTTGTTCTTTTGCATGTGGCTATCCAGTTGTCCCAGCATCATTTTTTGGAAAGTTTCTGCTTTTCCTTTGGAATTATACCAGCACCCTTGTTGGCTGTATTGATTTCAGCGTCACTGACAACTCAGTGGTTTCAGTATCAGGATGTGTTAACTTTAGTTTACGTGCTCACTCCTCAGTCTGTTGCTTTGTGTTGTCCAAAGAAATTGTACTGAGTCTGAGGTGCCTGGATTAATGTGGCTTTAAAATCGGCGATATCATGCGCTTTATATTGCGTGGGGCGAGGATTTAATGTCATAGTTTTCCTGGGTGAAGTAAACAGTGAACTAATGTGAATAGTGATTTCATTGTACGGTCCTTAGCTTGTGTTAATACATCATCACACTCTCTGAAAGGGAAGAGCTTTTATAAGGTGGCAGTTTTCAGGTCGATTGTGTGGAAGCCTTTGCAGGGTGCTCTTACTGACACTGTCTCCAGCTTTCAGGGTCGCCCCCTCGCGCTGTGGGGCACAGCTCCAATCCACGGCTAAAGAAACCAGAAAGCTTTCTCTGCGCCCAGCGAGGTGCAGCTGTCCTGTCATTCTGTCTTACAGCAGGGGCTGGACAGAGCCTGTTCATAGATGAACAATTACTCAACTTCCAGACTGTCTTAAGAGTCAGCGATCAGAACAGCAACTGCAAATTCTTCAGTCCCATCCTTCTAAAACCGCTGTCACTCTGAGCACAGAGAAGTCAGGCAGGGCGGTGAAAGCTTTTTCTCCCCGCTGTGGAAACTCTCCTTCTGTAGGTTTACACTGGGAAATTTTCAACCCACACGACTCCAGAGGCAAATTTAAGAAATTAATGCAAAAGGCCATTGTACTGAGAATGACCCTTCTTTATCTTTGTGATAAATTTTCTCTGGTAAAGAGTATTGTGAGCCCCAATTTTCATTGCCTGTTACTAGGCAGCTGAGTTTCCCAGGCCAGCCCCGCTCGGGCCCTTCCTGGCCTTATCTCCCCCCTGTTTTGGGGAAGTTGCCAGCCTTCCCAGTGGACTCCACTTCCTCCCCTTCCTCCTTTCTGTGATCCTCGAGGAGCTCGACTTCTGCTAACACAGCCTAGGACTGAACAGAGAATGGTTTTCCCCGCAACTAACCAAGAACCTCCAGCTACCTTGCCAGCTGGCTGTGCAGTTTTTCAGTTTTATGTAGTGCTTCTAACTGATAATATTGACCCGCTTTTTTCTTACTTTGGAGAGTTGTTTAGAAAGAGCTAGCCTTGCGTCGTCTGCATTAACTCTTCACTGGGTCTCCCGAGAGCCTTGTGTAATCAAAAGCATCAAAAGAAAGGCTGAGCAGCCCAGGTGGCTTTTCTCAAGAGCCTTACTGGACAGAAGCTGTTTTAGAGTCAGTGATGGAGCCACCCTTCTGTTTTGCCTGCTTGTGTTCCCGTCAGGTAATGATGACTCAGACATTGACATCCAGGAGGACGATGAACCCGACAGTGAACTGGAGGAGAGACAGCTGTCCAAGCCGCGGACTGCCATGGAGGTGCTCATGCAAGGTACCACGGCCGCTCTCGCCTGCCCTCCTCCCTGTGCCCTGCTGCAGGGAACAGCGGCTACGATCGGGTTGGGGCTGCTTGGTGTCGAGACCTGTAAGCACGCTGCTTTGTTGTTTATCAGCGCTTGGCTCTTAAACTGCTCAGTAGTCATCTTTGCTACTAATACTCTTACCTGTGGTTCCAAGAATGGCCAGAGTTCTTTATGGCTTGGTGTTTCTCACAGAGACCTCGGGAGCACTCTGCCTCTGCCGCTGAGCTGGATTCCGCTCTTTTTGGGTCCAGACTGCTCTGAAAGCAGCTCCATCCCTTATGGTCAGAGAATTAATGCACAAAGAAGGAACTGACATAAGCCTCTCTGCTGTTAATGTTATTCTAACTTCTACTTTCTTGCTGCAAAAGATTCAAACAATAAAATGTGTGGAGCAAATGTGGGTGCTCCCCTGGGTTCTTGCTCGTGTCTCACCCCCACCCTAGACGGGTCATGGCCAGGGGCTTGAGGGTGTGTCCCTCCAACTTGCCTTTCCACACATGTACATGTGCACAAACACACACACATGCACACATTCAATCAGACATGGACACAATGGTCACCTGAAACACTTTTTAACCTAAATGGGACCAGACTGTGTATGGTTCTGCACCTGTCTTTTTAAAGTATTATTAAATATATATCAAAACTCTTCCCATGTTAGTAAAGTATAAATCTGCTTCATTCTTTCTGACAGCTTCATGATATCCCATAGTATGGCTGTACCCATAATTTATTTGGGCATTCTATGTTGATAGCTATTTAAGTATTTCCACGCTTTCCCTTATACATATGTCTTTCTGCATATCTGCACAAGTGATTCTTTAGCTTGCATCATTAAAAGTGGAATTCTTAGGTCAAAGGTTATATAAATTTTTATTTTGATACATACTACTAAATTACCCTATATTTGCCTTTAAAACATTTCTTACCTACCACCTGTTAATTTTGGGGGCACAGTTGCATTGTTATGTACTTGATACTTGTAAGTGGTGAATCATCTTCATCATGTTATATTAACTTCTCTTGTTAGCTGCTTTTTCTTATCTAGGCTCAGCTACTTTTATTTATTGCATTTCTTTTTTTCATAGGATAATTAGATGCTCTGATTTCCTTTCTCTTCCTTTAATCTTTAGCAGCTTCATGACATAAATGGATGCTACAGGTTATGACTCCCGTTCTATTGATGGGAGCCAAGGCTCTGAGAAGTGTGGGATTGGCTCAGTAGAACCTCATGGGGCACTGGGGCTCCTCAGTCCTCCTGCTGACCCCTCAGACTGCAGAAGTAAGATCACAGGGTTCGCTTCTAAAGACAATAAATCGGTTCTTCAAACAACACAGGAGCTGCATTTTATCTGACCAGGGGAGAGTTTCTGTAAACCACTGTCAGTACTCCTCTCCAGGCCTGCCCTGAGTGAGCTCCTCCGAGCTGCCCTCACGGCCTTTCTCCCGAGGCCTTGCCCTGGCATCACAGTGGCCCTTTCTCAGTCTTCGGGTGTGGGTGCAGCTCTCTGCCTCCATCCAGGAAGGACAGCCCCTGACTTTTGGCAGAAGTCACATCGAGACAGCATTGCCTTGCAGAGGAGGGGTGGGGAATCACTTAGATAATGATGGTGTTTTGAAAGGTGAGCTAGTGTGATACTTTTTTTTTTTTTTTACTTTTTGATGCTGAGGCCTAGCTCCAAGTCCAAGCGGCATCGGTCCATAAAGGGAAAATGTATTCCTTTATTCAACAGATAGCACGTCTGTTCATGCATGTACACTAGTGATGGGGTTCAGTGATGCTCCCTAAAACACGTACAGGATGCATGTTTATTTTTCTGATTTATGTTTTGTGCTTGTAGCTGGTTGTCCTTTTCCTCTTTGTCAGAGTGAAATACAGAAAATCGATGACCTTTTTTGACAGTTCTGATTAGTTGGATGCTACTTAAGTCCACTTTTTAGCGTGATTCTCTCTCCCACTTCTCTGAAGGAAAGCAGATCGTGAATGCCATTCTCCTGCCTTGTTTTACAGGATTTCATAATCTCTTCACGCTTTTGTTCTCCTCAGGAAGACCCAGCAAGCGCGTCGTGGGCACAATGCAAGGTGGAGACTTGGACGACGACGTGAGTCCCCACCCGCTCCCTGGCAGTGCTGTTGTATCCGGGCCTGGGCCGGCCTCGCGGACTAGGCTGGCCGGGGGGCCGGGCGCACATCACCAGCCTAGCGCCAGGTGCTGCTTCTCAGCCCAGCCTGTCACTGGGTTTGTGGCAGAGTTTGGCCTCCCGAGGAGCTGGACTCGTCTTTGCTTGTTGATGGCTCATTTCTTTTCTTTTCTTTTCAAATGAACATGCTTGCCCTACTTTTTTTTTCCTTATTGTTCTTTCCATTCTTGCTTTCCAAAGATGGAAGCAGCACCAGCTCTCTTAGGTAAATGCAAGACTTCCAGCTCCAAGAAGCAGGTTGGTTTTTTCACCTCATCCGTGTGTGTGTGTGTGTGTGTGTGGGGAGAGAGAGAGCCGCTCAGGGACAGCAGAGGGGCTTCCCTGAGAGTGACGCCCTGTCTCCCGGGCAAGGAGCCACTCAGAATGGGTTCCACAGTGAGTAGTGGGGTTGCCTAAAGATCCCTGTGCTCCTGAGGAGAAGGGATGAACACTGAGCCAAGAGACAAGATGGTCCTCAGGCCCTTGAGCTGTAACCTAGGAAACAAGGGGTGCTGCTGAGGGCCCGGGTTCAAGACCAGCCCTCTCTTGAGCTCTGTCCTGGGGAGGGAACATGAAAAGGAGGCCCTCCCGAGACCAGAGCCTCAGAGAGGCCGGGCAAGAGGCTGTGACATCAGGCTGGTACACTGAGCATCTTTGAGTGGATAACTGACTGGGAAACCAACCAGATTGGGGAAAAAAGGCGTCCTCACCAGGGTCTGGTTGTTGGGGCTGCACCATTTATCGCTGTGGATCTGCCTTCTTTGTTGAGTCCCTGGTAGGGCCATGAGGCCCAAGAGGTAGAGGGTGACTAGACTGATGGGAGGTCACAGACCTCCCATCAGGCTGAATGCCACACATGTCTGGAGTGTGGCACAAGTGGCTGCCCACAGACAGAGCATGAGCTGTTGTTCTTGTACAAAAGATCCATTTACTAAGGACAGCAGTATATACTGTTACAGATATTCACAGGAGGGAGAGGTCACTCAGGTTTGCTGGGCAAGAGGCACAGAGGATAGGGCCCTGAATTCAGAGAAGACAGTCTATAGAGGTACAGAAACCACCTCAAAAAAATTTTAATAAAGCAGGGGATGGATGGCTAAATAGTTTCTATCCGTCCATCTTACCCATCTGAGACAAAATTAGGGCATGTCTGGTGTGGGCACTCGTGGTGCCTGGAGAGCAGTGTCTGGCCTCCTGCGATGTGCTTGGTCGTTCGTGTAGCTTTCACTTTCCTAGGTGAATGCCTTATCTGGAAGCTTCAAATCTTTTCTATGCCTGTTGTCACTTGTTTATTTCAAGGAGGCTGTTTTCCCGCATCCCTCAGGGAGAGGAGCTCATCCTTCACCTGTCTACTCATTCACTTGACAGGTCCTTGTTGAGTGCCTGTTACGTGCCAGGCACCGTCAAGGGTTAGGGGAGGGCAGCAGTGACCAGAACAAAGCCCCTGTCTTCGTGGGGCTTACATTCTTACAGTCATCAAGCAGATCCATTAGGGGTCATAGTGGTACAAAGGAAAACAAAGCAGGTTCAGGGGACAAGTGATGGGGATGAGGGAGGAGACTGATGTCTTCTGACGGGTCGGGAAGGGTCTCTGATGAGGTGACATTGGGCAGAGACCCTAATGATAGGAGGGTCGTAGTACTGGGGAAGGGCGTCAAGGCCTGGGGAATGTGGCTCCTTCATTTGAGGACCAGAGGCGGCAGCGTGACTGGACTGGAGTGAGCTGAGGCAGAAGCAGTGGGGACCGTGCACAGCTTTGCAGGATGTGACGAGGGCTTGCGTTCCCTGGGAGCGCAGCAGGAGGGTGCTGGAGAATTTCGAGCCTGGGTTGCTAAGATCTGCCCCGCATTTCAGAGGAACGAGCCCAGGTTGCTAAGATCTGCCCCGCATTCCAGGGGAACAGGACGAGACGGGGAGCATTTGCAGGGGTCTGGCTCAGAGGTGAGGGTGGCGGTGGCTTAGCCTGAGGCGGTAGCTAGAGAGCATTGAGAAATGGTCAGATTCTGGATGTTTCTAAGTTAAGAACTGTCAGATTCTGTTAATTGTGCACGGGGTGTTAGAAATGCCTGGGTTGTGGTTTAATTGACTGAAAGCATGGTTTTCACTTCCTGACATGAGCAGAGCCGGGGGGTGGGGTGCTTGGAGAGCAGATCAGGAGTCTGGTGTTGGACATTCTAGGTGTGAGCTTCCCATTAGACACCCACATGCTGGTGTGGGGAAGCCGGCTGAAGTTCAGGTGTGGAGTTGAAGGGTCAGGTTGGGGCTGGAGGTAGAATTTGGGGAGCCATCCATATTCACGGTAGATGTGATGGCTTGGCGGGGGAGAGTAGAAAGGAAAGAAGAGAGGCCCAAAGCTGGCCCTGTATTACGGAGGTCGGGGGAGGACTCAGCAAGGAGGTGGCCCTGGAGGACAGAAGAGGGGCCTCTAAGCAAGAAGGAGCATCCTGTTCTGGTGCAGCCAGAGGTCAGGCAGGACAGTGGAGAATTACCCATAGGATTTGAGTCCTTAAATGTTTCTGTCCTGGGGGACCTGGCGGGGTGCCTGCCTGACCAGAGGGTGCTTAGGAGGCAGAGGGGAACAGGCAGGGACGGTATGAGTTCAAAGCTCATTCAAGGACTTTGTGTGAGGCCAACAGAAGAACAAGGCAGAGTAGCTGGAGAGGAAGGTGGGATTGCATTTTAGAGTTTTTTATTTTGTGGAGTTTTTTTGTTTTGTTTGTTTGTTTTGGGGGGAGTGATTAGGTTTATTTACTAATTTAATGGAAGTATTGGGGATTGAATCCAGGACCTCGTGCATGCTAGGCACACGCCCCACCACTAAGCTATTACCCCCGCCCCCCGTTTTGTGTTTTTAAGAAGAGGAAAGTTGCAGCATGATGTGTGCTGGTGGGAGCGCTCTCTGTGGAGTGGCCAGCCATCCTGGGTCACTTGGGATGCAGGACTTGCAGTTTTAAAAGCTGCCAAATTGGTTACCCTGATCTAGATGATGAAAGAGAGAGTGTTTCTTTTATTTTGCTTTTTACGCCCATTTCCTGAGTGGCTTTCCACCCTTAGTCTGGCAAAAGCCAAGCTAAGCCCCCCTCCCCTGTGTCTCAGCCCCTGCCCTCCTTGCTGTCCACTGATGGGTCTCTGGGCTGCCAAGAGCAAAGCCGCATCCCGCGAGCTTCAGTGCAGCTCCTGAGACATCCACGGGAAAGCCAGCTGCAGCGCCAACCTGGTTAGATGATATGTTTCTGTGTGTATTCCGGCCAGCAATAAGTAGACACTGGTCCCATTCTTCTGCAGCCACTCCTGACTGCTGCTCTGCCAAGCCCTTCCTTCGCATGGGTGTTGCTGGTTTTTGAGCTACTAGTGAAAAGGTGAGGTAGGGTCTCTGCTGACATGGATGTAGTAACAGGACGGGCTGCTCAGCTGCACTTGCTGTCTCTCCTGTAGGAGGACTCGGAGGACAGTAAGATTGACGTGGAGGATGACGAGGAAGACGACGATGACCTGGAAGACGAGAGTATTGCTCTGTCCCCAGCTAAGCCCAGTCGGAGAGTCCGGAAACCTGAGCCCCTGGATGAGAGTGACAATGACTTCTAACCTTCTTGCCAAGGGACGCAAGCAGATTAAAACCCTCAGATTTGTAGAAATTAAAGGGTCAGAAGGAAACGTGCACTTTGTTCAATAAGCCAGCTGGACTCATCGTTAATAAAGCAAAAGCCCTCTCTGCTTTAGCCTCCTGTGTGTTTGCTGCACAAGCTTAATGGGAGCTGGAGCAAGCCCCGCAGATGATTTCTTTTTTGCCTTTTTTGCCTTATTTGTCTCCTAAAACTTGGGAAACGTGTGTGTTCTTAGTGATTCACATGCACAGGACAAAAGCTTGAGAAATAACAGCCAGCGCTGTGTAGGTCTCGGCTGTTGCTTTCGTCACACGTTTCCTCCCAGCGTTGGCGCGACCTTGGCGTCCAGACCTGGGGCTTGGAACCGGGCGCAGGACTCGTTCTAGGAATAGTCGGGGAGCAGCTGACTATTAATCACATGTACAGTTTGGAACATTTATTTTATATCGGATAGCTTTTTATTCCAGCCTCTGTTTTGTTTGATAGTCTTATTTTCATTCTTCTGCATGCTCACAATACCAAGCTTTAAATGTATTTAACTAACTTAAAGTTTCTGAAAGGAAGTTAGCTAACTTAGATGAAAACCAGCTTTCCTTGAAAATTGGGCAATGGAGAGATGCTCGCATTATCCAGACCCCATTTCCTCTCAGAAGACTGACATTCCCCCTTTGTAGAGAGCAAATTAAGGAAAAACAGTTGGTACAGATTTGTGTTTCTGCCTTAAAAAAATACACCAGCACCAGAAGAACTTCTCTCTTGTGAAATGAGAAGGAACAGATAGGTGGGTTCGGTTCGGTTCTGTTTGTTAATATTGAAAGCACAGAGGAATGATAAAGTCAGAAGACGTCCAAAGTTCTTTCTCTCTTAATAAATGTACTTAATACCATATTTTATATTATCAAATAAGTTTTATTTGAAAGTAATGTTTTCACCTATAACATATAAATACTTATTCAAGAAAAATTCACAGGTTCATATAGTACATGTAAATTTTGGGAGAGCATGTGGCCATTATTTCCATCTTTGCTTGTTTTCTGTCTTAAATTTTACGTATACAATTACCCCTTTTTTAAGCAGTCAGCATTCAGTTAATTGACTAGTGATCTGAGATGTGACATCTTTGAAACAATAAGCTAAAAGGAAAGTAGGTGTATTGGGAGCCACATTAACCACCTCAGGTGCCCTGGCTTTTAAGGCACAAGAGAGTCACTACATTTTCTTGGATGTTACAGCTTTGGTGTACCTGAGTCTGACCTTATGTTTTGAAAAACAAAAAAATGTGTATTTCAGTTTTCCTTCTGTGATGCTTTCTCCTAATGGGCATTAACTTGGGAGCCCAACCCAAGCCCCAGACGACAACACATCCACAGGTAGGGGCAGGAGCTGCAGCGGGCAATTCATTGTTTCACTTGCTTCTTGTCATCCTTCATCCCTCATTAACTGACTGTGTAGAGTCTCACATAGTCTGACATTTCTATACTTGAGCAGCATCTGTCAACAAAGGAGCCTCAAGTAGCGATCATAGTTATTAATGTGTTTTCTGTCGCTCTCAAAGATCCAGGAGTCAGGTATATGCATGTGTCTTGTGACTTGTGCCATTTGGTTTTGGTCAAGCAGCAGAGCAGATTGGGGCCCCAAAGGAGATCATGTGATTAGGTCAGTGGAAAACTAGCATTTAGATCATTGCTGATAGTTTTCTTGAGTTTTGTTTGTTTTACTGTGTAACTAAAGGGAGAGAGGAAGGGAGGAGGGGAAAGTAATTGATAAAGTAGTTTGGATTAGGATTTATCTGCTACGCAGTTAACCATTTGGTTGCTGCTATTTAAGGTAAGAAGGCAAAGTTTATTTCACGCTTTTTTACACCTGAATTTCTATAGCGTCTATTATAGATAGGGCTCAGAACAGTTTCCTCGACTTGGGCATCGGGTAGAGTACTCAGAATACTGAGGCATTGCCTCAGAAGTTGGGCCAAAGTAGCCCTAGGCTAAAGGATGGCTGATCCTGGCTAGCAAAATTTAAAAACAAATTTTGAAAGGATCCAACTGTTTCTAAGTAATTGTGTCCCAGAATAAAGCTCAAGAATGTTTTAAGTACTGTAAAGATAGTCAACATCCAAGAAGATAAAATTCCCAATGTCTGGTGTCAAAGCCAAATGTACAAGGCATGATGAGGAAAGTCAAGAAACTGACCAAGAAATGACCCAGAGATGACAGAGAAGGTAGGGAAGGACATTCAAACATTTATAACTATTCCATATAGTTGGATGGTGAAGCATGAGCATGTTGAGAGATACGGAAGATATAAAGTCTCAAACAGTACTTACAGAGATTAAAAAAAAATACAAGGGGGAAATTATGCAAGCCGAGATTAAGAGCAGATTAGACATTGCAAAAGAAAACATTACTGTCCCTGAAGACACAGCAATATAAATTGTCCAAAATGAAGAACAATAAAAGACCCCTCAAAATCCTGTTGTGTTGGTTATCAATTTATTGCCTCTGTTCAAATTCACCTTTTGGCCTGCCCTGCAATAATGGAGCTTTTCCTTGTCAGTAGCTCTTCTTTGCCACCCAGAAAGGTGTTAAACCTTGTCAGTAGGGTGCTGGAGAGATTTTGGAGCAGGAAGGAAGGGGCTTTCCTTCCCATTCTAGTGCGGCTTGCTTTTGAAATCCCTGGAGAGCACATTTTTTGTCCACTGCTTTGGCCCCTGAGGTTTCTCCAGTGAGGTCCTTACAAGGCACCACTTTCTCCAGCATTTGGCTACTTCAGCTCTTGCCTGACAGGTTCTCAACTCAGAAACAGTGCAAACCAGAAGATGGTATAACAACATCTTGAAAGCACTGAAAGAAAAAACTCACCCTGGAATTCTATACCCAGCAAAAATGTCTTTCAAAACCAGTAATCCAATAAAGACTACGTAAGACCTACGTTTAAATGTCCCCAGTTTCCAAATAATGTTCTTTATAGCTGATTTTTCCCTGTCTCCTCTAGGATCCAATCAAAAGATCTTAAGTTGTTATGACTCTGTAATAGCTTTCATTTAAAACAGTCTTCAGCTTTTTGTATTTTTTTCATGACACTGGCATTTTTTAAGAGGTCAGGCTTTTTGTTCTGTGTGTGTGTGTATGTGTGTGTGTTTTGTTTTGTTTTCCAGAATGGCCCTCTGGATTCTGTCTGACTGTTCCTTCATTATTAGATTCAGGTAAACATTTTTGGCAAGAATAATACAGCAGTGATGTTCCTTCAGTGCCTCACTTTGGCATCTATTTGTCCCATTATTGGTGATGTTAATTTTAATCACTAAGGCAGTATTTGCAAAGATGTCCCCATCTTTGAGGAACCTCCATAAATACCTCTCTGTGATGATGCTTTGAGACTGTGTGGATATCTTTAACAGACTTTTCATCCATGGTTTTATCATTCAGTGGTAGTTCTTGCCCAAATACTCATTTTTTAAAGAAACAATTGGAACAATAGTTTCTGTTCAAATTTAAAAGTGATAATTAGTTTATAATTTTCATGTAAGCATTTTCCTTGGTTATGTAGTTGATGAGAGCCGTGACATCCATTTGGAATCTCTTTCCTTTCAACACAGACAGACATCTGAGGGCATTTATGCCACGTGGAAGCTCAGCTTACCTACCTTCATGGGGAAGCTGTAGCCATAGTAGTGGTTTGGGAGCCTAACATAGAATGACATTATCAAGGTATCGACGTTTAATGTGCTTTGATAACCAGTTTGCCAGACTCCAGATAACATGGCAGACATAATCCATGTCTTTGAGAGATTTTGAAATAGATAAAAGATGGCAAAAATTTTGGAGAAATTTTTTTGGTCTCTGTCACCAGAATCCTATAATTAAAGCCTTCATTCCTCTTTGAAAGTTTTTCATAATTTTTCCATATAACTCTTAAGGATCATACTCCTAAAACCTTTTCTTCTTGAGAAAAGAAAGAGGTCCCCTCTGTCACCAATGCCAAATTGATACTCTTAATGGGCTTAAAGATGGCAGCTCATTTCAGAGTTGGGGGGTGGTTTTAACCAGGGCAGTGGAAGAGGGCAGTCATGATACAGAAAGGGGCACATGAAGTCCTCAGGATATAAATAAGCTCAGACTGGTTTCTTACTTGCTGAGCTTTGAGGCCTGTGTCCCTGAGTCCCTTGGCGGGAGACCCTCCCTTCTCTATGCTACAGCAGAGTGTCCGTCTCTCCCTTGCCCAGACTGACCTAGGACCAGGAGAGGTCTTCATGTCCTCCTCTGGCAGCACCTTCAGGCCTCCTTGCAGGGGACCAGCTCTCTTGCGGGTCAGCATCATTCCCAGACCACCGGAAGACACCCTGGAAAATGGTCTTTTCCTTTGAAAGCTTCCAGCCATGTCCCTTCCTGTTCTGCTGCCTGGTCCACCAGGAACCGGTCTCACATTTCAACAGTGCATGAGGGAGCATTTGTCTTGATAGCCTCTGCGATCATCCTGGCACCAGACTCCCCAATGTGGTTTCCCTGGAGACTAGAAGAGAAGGATTTGGATGGGGCTTGAGAAACTGGTCGAAGGGCTGGAGGCCTGAGGATGCTCATCAGTAAAGAGCAGATGGTCACTAGGTAAAGTGCAGAACCCCATGCAAAACCTTCATGCTTCCAGGATCCCTCATATGGACAAGGCTCAGAAGGGCTCCCTCTTACACTATGTTCCCTTGCAGAGCTGCCGAGGGGCACAGGAGCCAGCTGGCTCTGAGAACTAAGCTGAAGGCAGGGCCTGTCCTGGCAGCGGTTCTAAGGGTGAGTGAGAACAGCAGGAAAGGTCAGGTGAAACTGAGCCCCACTCACTTGATGTGCTGGAGCCCGTGGTTTCCAGACAGTGCAGTGGCAACACATATCGCCCCATCCATCCCCAAGGAATTCTCTTGAAGACTAGGCAGAGAAAAGATGGAGAAACGACAGTGAGCCATTCAGGACAGATTTGTCCACAGGCACCATAGCCAGAGCGAGGCGCCATTTAACCCCGAGACCCGTGCCTACAAGTAGCCAGGTTTTCTCATCTGGGTGCCATAGAGGGCCAAAAATGCAGAAATGAACAAACCCATCCACAGTACAGACTGTAGTCAGCAGTACAGTGTGAGCTGTCTGTATCTGGAAGGAAGAAGCTACAGAGGAAATCAGGAGCATCTTATCCCAGAAGAGAAGCCTGGTGCTCTGTGCCACAGGTAGGTGTGTACAACCACTCACTTGAGCCTTCGGAGACTTGAGTTGACCTTCAGAGCATTTGCCAAGGCTTTGGCTCCAGCCACTCCGATGGCGTTTCCTCTTAAGCTGTTGGGGAAGACAGGAACCCTAAGGCACAGTGACAGCTGAGAGGTGAACGTGGTACCTCTTCAGGGGAACATGGGCTGCCTGGTAGAGGCAGCATGGACTGAGCAACCACACAGGGTGAGGTTGCCCTGTCCTCACTCCCAGGCACAGAATGGAGATCGGGCCTGGGGAGGGGGGACACAAGGAAGGCTGAGGTTTACTAGAGCCCTCATCCTCCACTTTCATCGCAAAGAGAGATCTGGGCTGAGACCAGAGAGACACTCCATCCAGGGGTACCCATGTGCTCGGAATCACAGAACCACAGGAGCCATGATGACCTGGACACGTCTGAGAGCCCCTCAGAGCTGGAGGACCCCTAGGAATTAGGATCTTCTTGCAACCTGAGATCAGTGGCCCCTAAACAGGGCCTGGGGACACAAGCAACCTGGGCAAGGCCAAGGAGAGGAGGACCAACAAGAGTGACTCCCAGGAAAAGGGGTGCAGTGGGGCTGGGAAGCTGGGGCCTGCTTGGTCCACATGAAGATATTTAAATGATTTGTGAGTTCCCATGTACATTTTTTCCCCCATATCTATTTGTTTTGAATCAACAGCTTGTTTTTGAGGGGCAAAAGGCTGTAGCTGGAGACTGGAATACTTACTCGAGAATCTCCAAGGTTCTGTTCACCGCCAGGGCCTCCCCGAGCGCCTGGGCCCCCAGGGCACCAATGGAGGCCACCTGGAGACTGTAGGAGGAGATGCGGTCAATTCGGACAGGCAGGGCCTCTCTAGCCCTCACACCTGCCCCAGGCCCAGCTCCAGCCAAATCCACACTTCGTTTCCACCACCCCTTGTTTTAGGTCCGAAAGTGGCAAAGCAACACTGAAAATTGTTGGCCCGTGGATGCAAGGAGCATTGCATCTCCTGCCTACAGTCTGGTGCCGGGCAGAGATCTGCGTGCTACAGATACAGAGGGTAGAGGTGGTCTCCTGGAGGGTTTGCAGGGGACACTCCCCAAGCCCCTAGTTCTTACTTTCTAGATGTCTGATGTCCCAGTTGCTAATATTAGGAGAATCAAACACACCTTCTTTGAGTGGGAAGCAAATTGATGTTAAGTGTGAAAGGATGGTGAAGGCCGGCTTCCTGGGCTGCCGTGCGCATGAGGACTTACTAGAGAGCAGTGAGGGCCGTGTTTGCCTTCAGCGCACTGGCCACCGCAGAGGCGCCTTCATCCCCGATGGCGTTCTCCTGTAAACTGAACACAGAGCCTGACCCCTGGGCACACGGGACACAGGGCCAGCACTCCAGCATGACACGCTGAGCTTGGACCTTGTAGATTTAAGTCAGACCACACACGCCCTAGTAGACCATACTCCCAGGGTCACCCTGGGGACAGGTGTGCCTCCTGTGAGCCGCAGCAGCCCCCTGGCCTCCTAGTTAGCGTGCGGAGGGGTCTGGGGTCTGCACAAGTCTGCACCAGAGACAAACCAGAGAAGGGACATGTGGAACTACTGTCAACAAGAGTTTGGACAAAAGTGTGCTTTTCAAAGGCAATCAGAAACTCAAAGCCCTCCATCCCTGGGCCGTTCTTGCTGGTCAGTGTTTTACTTCTTTTTTTCCTTCCACACTGGAGGAAAGTAGCAGGCACTGGAGCAGTAAGTGATTAAGAGTTCAATGCAAGTGGACATTGTTTAAGGGAGCAGTTTGCATTGATAATTTTAACATTTAAGTGTGGTAGGTCCTAGCAAGCCCGGCTCCACCCTCTTGGAACTCAAGTCGGGGACGGGGTATTAATGGGCAGTCGCCAACTGCAGGCTGTGGGGGGGACCCTGAGGCGTCTCCCTCCCCAGTGTGGTCACAGAGGCTGCCCAGCAGAAATAGGTCTAAACCAAAACCCGAAGGCGAGAGATAGGGGAGGCCCTCAGGAACCCAAAGAAATGGAGTTGAGTCGCTGGAATGAGGAATGAGGGTGAGGAGGTGCAAAGAAAGCAGATCTTTGGTGGCCTTGGAAGCCACGCTAAGGGTTGGACTTCCCTCTGCAGGCACCAGGCAGCCATTTAAATAGCTTATGCAGGATGGGGACAGACTTATGTTTGGGAAACATCTGTGACCAGCAGTATGAGAGGATGGACTGGATGTGGAGACAGCTGCAGTGATGCAGGTGAGTGATGCTAGTGGCCTGGACAGTGGCCGTGGGGTGGGACGGGAGAAGATGGGAGGGGCGTTGGGAGGAGAAGCGACCAGACCTGGGAGTGAGTTGCACATGGAAAGTGAGAACGAAGGCGATGTTTCTGGAGCGTATGGTTGGTTGCTGGATGCATTCACAAGGTGGGGAACCAAGAAGCAGACTTGTGGGGGAGCTGACTCAGTCGATTTGAAGTCCACCAGCGGGACGGGTGGAGTGGGCAGTGAATACGTGGGTCTGGAGCTCAGGAGAGAGGTCTGGGATACAGCACCAGGACTTTGAAAGGAATTGGAGCCCTGGGTGAAGGAAAGCTTCTAGAAAAGAGGCATCATTCAGGGGAAGATGGCCTAGGATAGAGCCCTGAGGAATACCATGTTCAAACAGAAGAACCAGCCAGAGAGGGGACATCTTGGTTCATGTATGTGTGTGTGTGTGTGTGTGTGTGTGTATAAAATATAAAATTAAAAAAAAGCAGATAAGGCTCAAAGGTTAAACACAGAGTTACCATCTGACCCAGCAGTTCCGCTCCCAGGTGGACACACAAGAACTGAAGGCATACGTCCACACAGAAGCCTGTACATGAATGATCATGGAAGCATTATTCACAACAGCCAAAAGTGGAAACAACCCAAATGTCCATCAACAGATGAATGGATAAACAAAATGTCTGTCCAAGCAATAGACTATTATTCAGTCATAAAAAGGAATGAAGTACTGATACATGCTACAATGTGGATGAACCTCGAAAATACACTAGATGGAAGACAGGCATCAGGCAAGATCAAGTATTGTATGACTTCATTTGTGTGAAATGTCCAGAATAGGCAAATCCACAGGGACAAACACTAGTAGACTAGTGTCTGCCCAGGGAGGCTGGGGACAGATGGGGAGTGACTGATAATGGGTATAAGGTTTCTTTCGGGGTGATTGAAAGGTTCTAAAATTGATTGCAGAGATGGTCACACAGCTCTGAATTTACTAGAAACCAGTGAATTGTACACTCAATAAAGCTATTATTTAAACAAAACAAAACAAAACCAGCTGATGAGTTAAAAATGTGCCTGCTGGCCTTAGAGCAGAGGAGGCTGTGTGCTGAGGGCATGAGCCCTGCCCCTGGCGGGCACCGAGGTTTCAGATCCCCCTGCCCTCTCACAGACCCTGGGAAGGCCCCACTTACTCGAGGCTGGTCAGGCTCGTGTTGAGCTGTAGTGCTTGTCCCAGGGCCTTGGCGGCGCCGGCCTGGATGAAGTTCCATTGCAGGCTGGGCAGACACAGACACGTGTCAGCATGTGACCCTCTCTGGTCAGAGCCCAGGAGGCCCAGGAGGCCCTGGGAGAGTGACAGAGGGGAGTGGGGTCCCTGAGGGATGGGGCCCTGGCCAAAACAGGCAGAACTCCTGCAGCCCTCAGGCTTGGTCCCGAGGGGTCAGTGTGCACTCTGGCTAGGAGAGGGCGCACGGACAGGCTCAGGTAGATCCCAAGTGGCCTCTGCAGGAAGCACGTGACAGGCCGAGGCACTGCGTGGGCACCCACCTCCCACCTCCCCTCCCACCACTGTTCTCTCGGTGGGTCGGGCCCGGGAAGCAGAGTGGAGGGGCAGGGCACAGTCTACCGAGGCCCCAGAGACCACGTTGTGGGTGGGACCCCAAAGCCGGACTCGGGCTCCTGCATGCCCAGGTTTGAGTGTGACCCCGCAGCTCCGCCAGCGCACAGGGCGGGGTAGGGGCGCCGCAGACTCACTGAAGGGCCGTGAGGGCGTGGTTTTCTCTCACTGCCACCGCGATGGCCTGAGCACCCTGGTCGTGGAGGAGGTTGGCTGTCAGGCTGGGAGGGGGAAGACGGGGACAAGTGAGCAGGAGCCATGCAGCCCCTGTCTTTGTTCACTGGGGAAGCCAGACCACCCCCCGCCCCCCGGCCCGGACGGCGTCTGTCTGCTGGGATTGCCCGGCTCACACGCCTGGAGCACTTTCACGTGCCAGGCGCTGTCTCCGGCACGTGCCCTGGACCATTGAACTGAATCCTGACGACCTCACAGGGCAGGGGACAGGCTCTGCTCAGTAAGGTTCTGTGACAGGTCACCTGCCTGGGGACTCACTCTTGACCCCTGTGCTGCGCTGTCCCTCCTGACCAAGCCCCTCTCATAGGCTCATACGTCGTGGGGGGCGGGGGGGTTAGGGCAGGGAGATTGTCGCCACCCACTTCATCCCCTTATAATTTATGACATGAGAGAGGGGAACTTGGGTCAGGGCAACCATCAGACACCGAGCCTCCGGCTGCTCCCTCCCAGCCAGGCCCTTCTCCAGCCTCGTACAGGGGCCGGGGCACCGAGGCTCTGCCTGCTGGCTACCGGCTCTGGTGGCTGAGGCCCTGGGTGGCACAGAGGAGCCTTAGGAAGCGCAGCCTGCACCCCTCCCCAACGTACTCCAGGCTCTTCAGGGTGCTGTTGGCGCAGAGAGCGCGAGCCAGGTCCTGGGCGCCCTCGGAGCTGATGGAGTTTTCTCGAAGGCTGAGGAAAGAGAGAACCCTGAGCTACTGACCGGACAGCTGAAGCCTCTGGGGAAGACAAGCCCAGGTGTTCAGGCCGTTAGAACCCAGGAGCCACACGTGGGACCGGGGCTGAGGTTTGAAGAGGCTGCGCCAGGGAGCCCAGCTCCAGCGGCTTGCCAGCCGGGTGTCCCCCTCTGGGACTGTCAGCAGTAGGTCAGACGGTCCAGGAGGAAGAGGGTAAGACAACGGAACCTCAGAAGTGCGAGGGGCGGGCAGGCATGCTTGGGTGCCTAGAGGCTCGCCTGTAGGAAGGGGGCAGCGGGACCGGCCAGCTGACGGCCCCCGCCATCCCCTGCCTCGCCTGCCAGCAGGAAGAGTGCAGGATGCCAGGCTCCAGGGCCAAGCTGCCAACCATAGGTCTTCCCCCGACAAGTCCGCGGGGGATGTGTGGGCTTCTCAGCGCCAGCCTTTCCTTCCAAGTCCCAGCGTCCCTTCAGGCCCCCTGGCCAAAGGAATGCCCGTGGATGGAGAGGGAAGCAGGGACTTACTTGAGGCTGAGGAGTGTCTGGTTGGCGCAGAGGGCCCCCATCAGCGCCGCCACTCCTGAGTCACTGATGGAATTGCTCTGCAGGCTGCAGACAGAGGACAGGGCACACTTGGCGTGGGTGTCTCGGGACCCGGAGCGAGCCCAGGCTGGGACTACAGGCACTGAGTTCAACAGGGATTCGGGGGAGCTCTGTGCCACCCCCCTACTGCTCCTCTCATCTCTGATACCCCTCCCGTCTACTGCAACTCCAGCCCCTGCTAGGTCGGGACCAGGGAGTCTATCTAGCACAACCAGCACCAAGGTTTAGACTCTGCCTTGATTTGGGTGGTTCCACACAGCTTCTGAGGGGGATGTGTGTCTGCAGCCCCTAGAGAAAGGGACACAGCGGAGTCTCCCATTGTGGGGGCAGCGCTGAGCTCCCCACTCCCCACCAAGGCCCTGGAGCCAACCCCATCTGCAGCCACCTGTGCCAGCTCCCAAAGGGCACTCGGCTCTTGCCACTCTGAAAACTCCAGAACCAACACTGACCCCGACTGTCCAGGGAAAGGGAGCTGGTGGGTGCGCTGGAGGGAGAGACCCTTAAGATCACCATATGCCCAGCATTCGTGGTTGGTTGGGTTCTAACAGGGAAGCAGTCCTGACTTACAGCCCTCCTCCAGGACCCGTCCACCGGCTGGGTGGGGAACCCAGGTGGGGAGTCACCCTCTCCCCACAGCAACCCTGGAAGGTGGTTAGAGGCAGACTCACTCCAGGCTCTCCAGGCCCTGGTTCACCTTCAGGGCCTCCGCCAGGGCCTTGGCACCTCCATCACCAATGCTGTTACTGGAGAACCTGCAAGAGATGGGACATGGGTGGAGCAGCCTGGCAGGACGAGGCCAGGGGGTCAGAGTCCTGGGAAGCCCTCCAGGGAACCGCTGCCTCTGTGGTTTCAAGGGTGCCTGGTGCACAGTTTCTTCTGTCTGAGGCTGTCTGGCGGGGAGTCTCTGTAAGAGATCAAGGCAGCAAAGTCCTGCTTGACTCCCTGGTATGGGGCAGGGGCCAGGGCCAACCCTTTAGTGAGACGTATTTATGATACTTTATCTGAAGGTGACCAGAAAATGCTATTTTCTTCTGCCAGCTGAGAAGGCAGTAAATGTGAGCCTGTGACACTTGGGGCTCACTCATTTCTGGAACTCTAGATCTCCATTCTCCTGGACCAGTGCTTTGGAATCCAAAACCAGCTGTCTTGTTACCCACACATTCATTCATCCATCTACTCACTCACCCATCCACTCATCCATCCATCCATCCATCCATCCATCCATCCATCCATCCATCCCCATATTCACAGATATTCATAATGGGCTGGGCATTGTGCCAGGCATGGAGGATACCAGTTTGGCCCTTCTGCATTTCTCACATGAGCTCCTTCAGACTCCTGTTCTGCTTCAGGGCATCTGCCATCTGCCGGGTTCCCACTGGCCCAATGGTGTTCTTCTGCAGGCTGTAGGAGAGAGGTCCTTCAGTAAAGCTGGCCATGGCCATTCCCAGGCCAAGGACAGTCTGGTTCAAGGTGAGAGGCCAGAGACTACTCAACTGTCATCTCCATTAATTGCAGCTTGTGGGGAGGGGTCTCCAGGAAAGGTCTGCAGATTGTTGCCAAAGTATTGTCTATAGATTGATGTTACTATGTGAGGAGTAAGAGGCAAGGGCAGCTGGGCCCTCCCCTCTCAGGGGCCAGAAAACAGTGACGGGCAGACACATCGAGGAAGGTAGCACCTGCTGCAGGCTGTAAGTACCTGCTTGTCATACAGACGGAAGTTTTCATTTTCCTTAGAAAGCAGCAATCCAGATGGCTACCCAAAACAACAGGCAAATCTGGGATAAACTCTGCATGACTAACGATGTTGTCCAGACCTCTTATGTGAGGACAAGCTGTGGTTTTTCCTAAAGATGCATGTGTAATGAGCTATATCTGCTTGGCTGCAGGAAAGGGTGAGACTTCTTTCTGTCTTTGCCATCTTGTTGGCAGATTTCCTCTGATGCTCACTGCAGGCTAGCTGAATGCTTACTCCAATAATTCAGCTGTTTCCTACTTTCCTACATTTCTGGAGAGGATCTTTTGGGTTGGCAAGAGGCTTTATTTTTTTAAAATTTCCCCAACACAGTGGATACCCAGGGGCCAGGTTTTCCAGGGGCCATCCCGATGAACCAGAAGGCTTCAGGGCCTTGTCCCATCCATCCCTCCCTTACAGAAAACAGAGAGGCCCTCGGAGGAGGAAAAGAGAGAAGAGAAAACATTCTCTGCCAGCTGGCACGCCCACTCACTGTAGCACGGAGAGGGTCCGGTTGGCGGCCAAGGCCTCTGCCATGAACCTTGCACCGTCGTCCCTGATCATGTTGCTCTGGAGGCTGTAGAGGCGGGGAAGGAGTGCATCACTGACGGAGCACAGGAGGGTGCCCACCACATGAGAATCGGGGAACAACTGGCCCTCCCCACTGCTATGCTGGCCTTGGCTTTTCCTCTGGGTCTCTTAAGCACTTGCCTGCAGACTGGGGACCGGTGCTCATGGTATCTGGACCACAATGATAAGGTCATCCATAGTTCTAATTACAGCTAAAAGCCACGGCACCCAAGAGTTGGTGAGGACGTGGAGAAATTGGAACCCTCACCCACTGCTGGTGGGAATGTCAAATGACATGGCCTCTGAGGAAGACAGTCTGGCAGTTCCTCAGAAGGTTACACATAGGGTGACCATGTGACCTAGAAAATCCTAGGTGTCTACCCAGAAGAACTGAAAAAAGTTGCTCAAATATGTGTACACAGATGTGTACGGAACAATAGCCAAAAGGTGGAAACAACTGATGAATGGATAAACAGCTTTGGTCTGTCTATCTAATGGAGTATTATTCAGCCATAAAATGGAATGAAATACACACGTTACAATGCAGATGAACCTTGAAAACACTATACTAAGTAAAGGAAGATAGACACATAAAGTCTTACTGTTTGATTCCATTTATATGAAATCTGCTGAATAGGAAAACATCCTGACAGAAAGTGGATTGGTGGCTGCCAGGGGCTAAGGGGAGGGGAGAATGGGGGGTGATTGCTGAGGGGTAGAGGGTCTCCTTTTGGGGTGATGTAAATATTTTGGAATTAGGTGGAGATGATGGTTGCACAACTGTGAACATACTAAATGCCACTGAACCACATACACTTTAAAATGGTGAATTTTATTTGAATTTCACCCAATAAAAATAAATGAGCAAAACAAAATGACACTCAACTAAATACACACTCAACTAAGGATGGATACAAACACTGGCTCCCACAAGGAGCACAGCAAGCCACACCAAACCATGGGAACCACCTGGAAGACTGGATTTCAGTGTCTTGGAAAACACCTCAGGGGACCATTCTGACACCTTGGCCTTTGGGATTTCGCCCTCAGTGGAGGACAGGAAGTTTTCCTCACAGATTCTTCTTCCCTTCAAACCTCTACATACCTCCTCCTCTTCTCCTCTATCCCCTGCTGAGGCCATAAATCTGAGGACACAATGGCCAGGGAAGAGCTGAGCTTGCAAACTTGCTTAGGATACAAGATCCCCTGGTATCCACTGGGTGGGACCCAGTATCTCATGCTGCCATTTTGAATTATTGCCCAGTCCATGGGTGGCACCTGAGAAGATGGTTTTCTGGGCCATCAGAACACAGACAGAGACAGAGAGCGAGTGGCACATACCTCAGAGAGGACAGGGTACGGTTAATCTTCAGAGCATCTGCCAGTGCCTTGGCCCCTTGAGGTCCAATGGAGTTACTGCGGAGGCTGACAGAGGAAGAGAGAGAACCATTTTCTTACCCAATTCCCAGGGAGGGAAGGTGGAACAGAAGTTACACTGACCTTTAAATCTATGCTTCTTGAAAGAATACATCAGGCTTTAGGATTTCATGTTTGGTGGAACTGGGGCAGAGAACCTTAGTTAAGTGAACGAGGAAGGAGTTTCCCAAGATGGCCCCGTATGATGGAGAGAGGCAAAGCAGGATCTGATGGAATAGTTGGTGGGCTTGGGCCAGGTGTGAAGAGGAGATGATAACACCAGGTTCAAGGCCAAAATTCTGATGCTTCACTGGGTGAGTCTCAACAGCTGAGCAGGAGCCAAGACTTTGCTTGCTCAGCTGTCCTTCCAGCCCACCCAGGGGAGAGTAAGATCTCGGGGACTTTACAAGATGGCTCAAGCTCTCTCTGTCCCAGTGGTGAAGGGTCCTACTTACTCCAGAGTGGTCAGACTTCTGTTGACGAGGAGGGATCTGGCCAGAGCTTTAGCCCCTTTGTTACTGATCTGGTTCTCACCCAAGCTGCCCAGAGAAAGAGAGAGGAGTAGTTAATGCAGGTCTACAAATCTCATCACCTCTTCTGCAACACCAGTCCTGTGATCTAAACCCCTTGGCCTCTGTGGCATCATCAGGGCCTGGATACAGGTGGAGATCAGGTCCAGGAAAGCCTCTGAGTTGAGCAAGGTAGGGCCAGAGTGGGCAGACAGACCCTCACGCTAACAAAGGGTCCCAGGGAGAAGTCTGACCAGAATCCAGCACAACCACTTCTACACAAACAGTGCAGCAGAGAGTATGGGCAATGACTGAAGACTTCCACTTGGATCCCAGCCACTGGTATGCCGGAAAACCAGCTCTTGGGGAAAAACAAAATACAAAAATCCTGATTTGTAGCGTTGGCTAATTTCCACAGTGTGAATACTCTCACCATGGCCAATTTCAAGCACTCTCAGCTCGTAAAAATTCCTGAAAATTTAACAATCGCTCTCATGAACTGGTGGCTGAACTCACAGCTCCAGCACACTCCTGGCCCCAGCCCTCCCTCTAATGCAAGAAAGGGAAGATGCTAGAGTTATTACAAAACTAACTTGAAAGTCACAAAGTGTACATCTGTGTCCGCCTTGCAAGGGCATCCCAGGAACATGCTGGTGGATCAGCCTAGCATAGCTTCATGTGCCCAGTTTCAGAAGTGGTATCTGCTGAGGTTCTTTAAAAATGAGGGGCAGCCCCCTGGGAAACAGAATCCCTGGGGTTTTTCAAGGTTTTCAGAAAAGCTTCTGGAGCCACCAGGAAGCTGAGGGGAAACAAAGTGCCTGGCTCTGGGTCCCCTCCCCTCTTCTTTCAATCCCAGCAGCGCCCCCATTTGTCTGTCTTACTTATTGTGGTTCTGCCAGATATGTCTTTAAAAAGGCATTCTATTACTGAAAAAAAAGTTTGGAGACCATTCATCCAGACCACCTTGTATATAAATGTTCTCAAGTTCTGGAGCCTCTGTCCCCATGCCCCAGCACCAAGACTTCTGTAATATTTTACAGGCAATATTTCGTAAGCCACATATGTCTTCTGAAGAATGCCTTGGACATTTCAAACAGGGATGTGGCACAGAGGACCAACTATAGACAGGTGTGAGAAAGCACAGGGCCAGAGAAGAAATTTTTGGCTTTATTCATAGAGAAATCTGAGCACTCTCTTGGAATCTCCTTAAAGCGAAACACGGAAAGTTAGCTATTTCTTCGAAGGATCCCATGAAGGAGAATATATTAATAGTGAGAAGTTGTCATTATTATGTTTTTTTTTAATGGGATTGCGTTTGTGTCTCTGGCTAACAAGACAAGAGAATCCTGCTAAGAACAGCCGGTCCTTACACGGTGCTTCCTCTATGCCTGTCCTGTCCTGAGCACTTTCCTTGAATTAACTCATGAAAACCCTAAGAGGCAAGTGCAGTAGAGGCTTAACCTTGGCTCCTGCTCCTGACAGGTGTCCTCTACGCCCTTGGAATGCCCTACCTGGTAGGAATGTGTCTGTGTATCTGGGGGCCTTGGGCTTTGGTGGGTAGTTTATCTCACAGTGTGACTCAGGGTCATGCAGTGTCAGCTTGACCTCAGGAGGGGCCGGAGACTCAGGTCAGCATGCGGTGGCCAGGTGTGTCTTCATGACTGACCTCCTAGTAACAACTCTGAGCACCAAGGCTTGGGCGGGCTTCCCTGGTCAGAATGCTCCATGCTGTCCACGTCATCTGTGCAGGCAGTGCTGTCTGCACAACTCCACTGGGAGGGGACGGCTGGAGGCTCGGGCTGGTCTCTGGGACCCTGCCCCATGGGCCTTTTCCCTTTGCAGATTTTAATCTGTATCCTTTCAATGTAATGAACCATAACTGTGAATATAATGGCTTTTCTGGGTTCCATGAGTTCACTGAACCTGAGAGTAGTCATGGGGACCCCTGAACTCACACCATTTACCTGCACACAGGTGTCTAGACAAGGTCATACCGAGCTCACCACTCTAATCACGATCCTCAGTGACATACTTTTCATTCCTAACTCATTCTGTATTTTTATTTCCTCAAATAAAGATTATTTTAGAAGCTGGAGGCTTGTGTGAGGATGAGAAATTACCCTCTGGGACCTTTTCTCCAAACTCATCACCCTAGTTCTTCTAAAGCCACCCGCAGGTCATCACATCTATTCAACTACAAATCAGGGTGCTACTCAGACTCCGATGTGTTAGTTACAGGAGAGATTTCTAAGCAAATAGATCTATTCTGCAGTCAGCACATCAACTTGCATCTAATTACAACATCAAACATGCAATGTTTACATTAAATATTTTTTAATTAATGAAAATTAATTTATTGAATTAAAACATTTTGGATTTTATTTAAAGATGCAATCCCATGCCCAGAATACTGTTTGAAGGCAAACTTTGAGAGGAGCTTAGAGTAAATCAGGCCTGGTGTTTGGAGAAATGATTCTGCGTCTGCAGTAGCGTCTGACCCTTACCACATCCTTTACCTTTTCCTACAGATGAGGTACCTGAGCCTCTGGAACATTCTGGAATGGGTAGAAACAAGCAGCCTGTATCCTGAGCCACACACCTCAAAGCACCTCTCCTTGAAAGCACCATTTGAGCAGAGAGGAGGGTGTGAAAGGGGCCCAGAGCCCCAAGAGACAGGTGGGCACACCAGGTGGGGTCTCCTGGCTTGGTGTTACCTGATCCTTTGAATGCGACAGTCCTTCCCACTCAGCACGCTGCCCAGCAGCTCCATCACAGGGTCCTTGAACTGGTTGGTGTCCAGCCTGGTCGGAGAAATGGTGATAGTGAGTGGTAGTGCCACCGTGGGCAAAGGGCTGGCATCAGGGCAGTGGAGGGGGCCCTAAGCTCAGACACTCAGGCTGGGATCCTCTCCCTCACCCTCCTCTCCATCCCAGTGAGCCCCCACCGTGAGGCCTAGAGATCTGGGCCAGCACACCCACATGCTCAGAGGTTTCCTATGAGGGTGACCTGGGGACACTCAGTGGCCTGAGCCCTGGACTTCCTACCTGGAGGGTAGTCTTCCAGAAGCCCTGCCTGCACACCATGTGTCTGCAGAACATCAGTTGCTAGCTCTCCTTTTTCTGAGGATGTGGAAGATACTCTGAGGTCTGGAGTGGCCCTGGCCCTACAACCCCCTGCCCACTAAGGTCCGGAGAGTGGACAAAGGATAATGGGCGGAGGGTGGAGTGAGTGGGTGTGGCCTCTGTCAGCACTGGGGTGCTTTACAGGGTGTTTTGGTCGAACTGTGTCCTCCCACAAGATAAGGTGGAGTTGTAACTCCCTAGTGCCTCAAGAATGAGATTTGGAAATAGAGTCACTGCAGAGTAATTAGTTAAGACGAGGTCATACTGGAGGGGGTGGGCCTGTAATCCAGTATGACTGGTGTCCTCACAGGACAGGAAAGCTCTGCATGAAGGTGGTCATGTGACCACACAGGCAGCAATGCCCACTGGAGAGATGCGTCTACAAGCCAAGGAATGCTGCAAACCCCCAAAGCTAGAGAGGCCAAGAAGGAGCCAGGGATCCCCCCCTGCAGCCTTCAGAGGGACCAGAGCCCTGCTGACACCTGGTTTTGGACTCTGGCCTCCAGAAGGGGATAAGTTTATGTGGTTTTACGCCATCTAGATCATGGTCCTTTGTTATGGCTGCCACAGGACATGGACACAGGGGACCTGGCTTCCAGGAGGAGACTTCCAGGTCCAAGCTCTCTCCTCTGCCCACACATGCCCTGCGTGGCCCCACCCTGCACCCACCTCAGGCTCCGGCAGTGGAGCAGCTGGGGCAGCAGGCTCTGGAGGACACCCTGGCTGAGGCACAGGGGCAAGCTGGCCTCCTGGGCACGGACATCAGACACCTGCAGGAGGTAGGCCAGGGCAGCGCAGTGCGGGCGGCTGGTCAGCCTGGCCAGGGCCCCGCTCTCCACAGCCTCCTCCACGCTGCGGGTCAGTTCCGTGTGCTGCAGCTCGTGCAGGCAGTGCAGGATGTTGACCGCCCGGGCGCAAACCGCCCCGTCGGGGCGCAGGCAGCCCTGCAGGAGCTCAGCCACCTGGGCCCGGTAGCCCTGGTGCTCGCCTTGGGTCAGCAGGGAGCCGGCCAGCAGGGCGTTGACCCTCGGAGACAAGAGGCCTGAGAGGAAGCGCAGGAACACATCGAGCCGCCCGTCCTCGACCTGCATGGCCCGCTGGGCTGCGCTCCTGAAGTGCGTGAGGAAGCCAAGCCGGGGCCAGGACATGCCCCCCTCGGTGAAGAGGTCAAAGATGGCCCTCCTGGACGCGCTGTAGTAGTACACGGCCGCCACGAACTCCTGCAGGGACAGGTGCTTGAAGTAGTAGGTCACTGAGGAGGCCAGGGTCTCCTCCCGCTGCAGGAGGCAGCCGCACAGGGCGGTCTGCAGCAGGGCGAGGTCCACGCCGAAAACCTTCAGGTCTGGCTCGTAGAACACGTACTTCTTCCTGACCAGCCCGTGGAAGGCCAGCCGGCCTAGCGTGCCAACCACTTTGCGGCCGCCCTGGACCAGCTGCTCGATGCGGGGGCTCGCCTTGCCCTTCTCCTGCGCCTCCCCGCTGAGGGCCATCCTGAAGTACCAAGAGTAGAGCTCACACAGGGTCCTTGGAGGCCACAGCTCTGCATCTGGCAGCCCCAACCTGCTGCGGTGCAGGTGGCCCAGTGCCAACCCCGCCAGACGGCAGAAGGCTGGGATAGTGCACATCAGGTACAGGGCCCTGTCTGCCTGCACCTGGCTCAGCACCCAGCCCGAGAGGACTGGGTCCTCGGGGAACATCTGCTCCAGGCACATCTTGATCTCCTCCTTGTTAAAGCCCCGGATCTCAGTCATCCGGTCCACCAGGCCGCCTGGGATCTGGCCGGCTGCACTGGGGCGGGAGGTGACCCAGACGGATACTTCCGGGAAGAGGTTGCCCCGGATGATGTTGGTGATCAGGTGGTCCACCTGGATTTCCTTCCTGGGGTCTGTGCAGGCCACAGTATTGGAGAAGTCCAGGGGCGTCTTACACTCATCCAGACCATCCAGGACCAGGAGGACCTTGGTTAGGGCTGCTGATGCCAAGCCAGTCTCCCCAGCATGCGGGAAGATGGAGCGGACGAGTCTGTCTGCAGACAGCTTCTCATGGGTGTTGAGATCCCGGAAGGTCAGAGGCAGCACCAGCGAGAAGTCCTTGCCCACCTGTCCCCGGGCCCAGAGGTGGACGAAGTTCCTCACCAGGGTGGTCTTGCCCACACCAGCCACCCCGATGGTGATGGAGATGCGGGGCGGGATGGACACCCGTGACAGAGGCAGGAAGAGCCTGTCCAGGGTAATGGTCCTGCTGGAGCACCAGCCCCCACGTGTGGCCTCCACCTGCGTGAAGTCGTGTTCCCTCAGCTGCAGGTCTGTCAGGCCCTCCACCAGCAGGAGGCTGGTCAGCCTGGGTGAGGGGCTGTCCAGCTCTGGGCCACCTCCCATCCTGTTCAGCAGGGCCTCTCGGTGCCTCTGTATCCTTAAGTCTGCAGAACAGAGGCCAGAGAGAAGGGCTGGGGGAGAGTGGGGGGAGGGGGAGGGAGGAAGGGGGTGGGGGAGGGGAAAGGGGGAGGGGGGAAAGGGGGGAGGGGGAAAGGGAGAGGGGAAGAGGGCCCAGGCACCCCACTCCAGGCTATTTACCACTGCCGTGGGGCCTCAGTGGGGACTCCGGTGTCCTGTTGGGGGGCTGCGGGGCCTGGGAGCCCTGACCACCCTTGCCGGCCAGCAGGTCCACCAGTGCTTTGACCTGCTCGGCTGGGGAGCCGGCCCCATGGCCCTGGCCAACCTCCCCGCCTGTCCGCACCTCCTGCTTCCTCATGGAGTCCGGGGTTGCCGCCGGGAGCTGTGAAGAGAGGGCCTGAACCTGCTGCCTGCTGTCTCTCTACCCAGGTGATTGAGCCTCAAGGGATGGGCAGGGATGGGGCCCCACCCCTTCTCCTTCCCCAGACTGCGGGTGGCCCCTGGTTTGGCCTCTGGAACGAGGTTGAAAGGGCTGTTTGTTCCTGCATGGTGACAGTAGTCTCTGCTGCCAGGAGCACTGCTCAGGTATGGGAGGCCAGTTGATAAGAACAGGGGCCCCAGGCTCAAATCTGAGCTCTGCCACTTACTGGCTGTGTGACACTGGACAGGCCACCTGAGCTCTCTGTGCCGTGGTGTCCTCATTTGTAACCTGGAAATGAACAGATCTACTCATGAGAAGGGAAGGGTGAAAGAAGCCAGTCTGGAAAGGCTGAATGTGGTGTGATTCCAACCCCATGGCATTCTGGAAAAGGCAAAATTATGGAGACAGTAAGAGGATCAGTGGTTGCTTGGGGTCTTGGGCGAGGAGGGAGTGATGAACTGGCAGAGCACAGAGTATTTCTAGGGCACTGAAACCACTCTGTGTGATACTGCAGTGCTGGATTCATGTCATTGTATATTGGTCCAAACCCACAGAATGTGCAGCACCAAGGGTGACCCTAATGTCAACTCTGACCCTGGGTGATAGTGATGTGTCAGTGTGGGTTTATGATTGTAACAAATGTGCCCCCTTAGTTGGGGGCAGATGCAGGTAGGCCAGCTGAGGGGATAGGGAAATCTCTGGACTTCCCACTCAATTTTTCTATAAACCTAAAAATGCTCAAAAACTAAAGTCTGTTAACTTAAGAAGGAAAAAGAGAAGGAAGGGTACAGCTCAAGTGGTAGAGTGCATACTTAGCATCACGAGGTCCTGGGTTCAATCCCCAGTGCCTTCACAGAAAAAATAAATAGATAGATAAATAAATAAATAAACAAACAAACAAACAAACAAACAAACAAACCTAATACCTTCCCCTAGAAAAAAGAAAGGAGGAGGTGCCAGAAGAGAGGGGAAAGCTGGTTCTCAAAACAGCGACACAGCCCCTCTTCTTACTGTGTTCCTAGGACAGTGATGCGAGGTGCTGAGAGGCAAAGCCGTGCCCAGTCCCACCTGCTCCTTGTCCTCTCCGGGGACTGGAGTGGACCCTGTTGCTAAGGCTGTCCTCCCTGTGTGTCCCTCCCTTAGCTAAGGTGGACACTGGAGGACCCTGAGCCTGCCCCCAGCCCCCTCCTCACCTGCAGCGAACAGGACGTCCAGCCCACGGCAGCCCCTCCAGCGGGGCCCCAGGAACTCAGAGGGCAGAGATTAGCCATCCCTCGTCCATGGGTCTAGGAGAGAAGACAGGATTTGGGGCTGGGCAGAGGTCACGCCTGGTGCTTCAGATGACAGCGGCTCACTGAAACAGGTTGGCCCACACCCTCCAGCCCTGCAGCTCTCCAGGTCCCAATATGAGTGACTTAAGTGGGGTCCAGCCCCAAGGATCCAGCACATTCCCCGAACTTGGCTTTGAATTGGGCTTCCGGGGGATTTTAACTGAGGATGAAGCTTTCTACCTGGAGAATACTAAAAGATTCTTGGAAGCAAGTAAAGTAGCATTTTCTTGGAAACAAATAAAGTAGCATTTTCCAACCATTCAGTTCATGGTGATATTGCAGTTAGTGCAACGAATTTGAGGTCAACAGTGTCCAACCCAGCTGAACTAACCTGGGAACTAATCAGAAATAGGCCAGGGCAAGGCCACAATCCATGCAGTTCCTCAGAACCCTTCTGGCTGTTCTCACTCTTGCATTTTTCTAAGTGTCAAAACCAAGAGGAAAAAAACAGATGGGATTTTGATTGAAGTCATGTCATTGTGCACAGATTAATGGTGGTATTATTGAGGTTTTCCTGTAGATTCTTTGTTAAAACTGTTTTTAACTCATCTAGATCTTGCCCATTTCTTGTGTCTAGGTATTTTTAAATAGCCTTTCTTGTTCTCATGAATTTTGTTGGTGTCAAAGAAGACAATTTTTGTGTATTTTATCTTGTTAAGTATTTGTATTAATTCTCATCATTTTTTAGTTAACTCTTTTCAGGCTTTTGAGTTACTGCAATACAAATAATTTCATCTCTTCTCTAAAAGTGTAACTCTTGTTTGCTGAGGGGGAGGTAATTAAGTTTCTTCCTTGAATTCTGCTTGGAGGAGGCACTGGGGATTGAACCCGGGGCCTCGTGGGTGCTGAGCATGAGCTATACCCTTCCCCCTAAAAGTATAACTCGTACTTTGAGCAACTTCTCTGCGTGGCCGAGCAATGTGGAAGGACCGCGGTTCTAGCAGACATCCTTGTCTCACTCCTGACTCTCCCAGGAGTGGTTCTAGCCCAAACTGTTAGACCTGATGTTAGTGACAGGTTTCTAATTGGTTTTCTTCTCCTCTTGGAAAAGATTCCTTCAATTCCTCATTTCTTCTTGCCGCTCAGGTAACATTATGTGATGCTTACGGAAGGCTCACTGTGCTCTGGACGTCATTTTACATCTTGTAACAACCAGGTGGTAACGGTAAAAATATCCCCCTTACCCAAAGAATATTTTTTAATATTTGCTTGTATTTCTCATTGTGCTTTTATGAGTTTTGTACTTAAACTGGTTAAGCCAAACTGAAGTTAAATTTCGTATTTAATATGAAGTATTACATTTACCATCATTTCTCCCATTTTATAGAAGACACTGAGACTCAGAGCGGTTAAATGACTTTCCCAAGGCTACACGACTGGGAAGCAGTTGAGTTGGGACAGAAACCAAGGCTTCACTGACAACATTCCTGCCTCTTAAGGTATGTTTACACATTGAAAAAAAAAATTTTATGCATGACTGTTAAATTAGCCAATGGCTTTTTAGCAATATGGTATAATCACATGATTTACTTGCAATCGTTTGTCCAGCTGGCAGGTATTTATTGAGGGCCTTTTGTGTGCTGCAGGCGCTGGGGGCGTAAAGGTGAACAGTTGGACAAAGTCCTTAACCTGTGAGTGTGGCGGGGGTGGGGGACAATGACAGTAGTGAAGAAAACAAGTGAATCAGTAAGGCCATTCTGATGGCGATTAGTGCCGTGAGTGACATAAACGGGGAGTGACGGAGAGGGTCTGGGTCCAGGGGGAGGCAATGGTTTTAGTCTGGTGGCCAAGGAAGGCCTCTGAGAAGGCAGAGATGTGAACGGTGGGAAAGAGGTAGTCATGCAAAGAGCTCCGGGAACAGCAAGTGCGAATATACCTTGTGTGTTAGAGGAGCAGAGAAAGGTCAGAGTTGCTGGGGCACAGTGATCAGCGAGCGGCCCACACAAGGGGTTAGGAGACAGGGGCAGAGGGCGCTTGAGACCTGTCACGGTCCAGAGGAGCTGGGGTGTGTCTAAGTGCGGTGGGAAGCCACTGGAGAGAGTGACATGACTGATGTCTAGCAGAGCTCTCCTTTGATCTGTGAGCTACACTAACAGATTTTCTAACATCAAACCAAGCTTACATTCTTGAATATTGTCTTCCATTAATATCAAGTATATATAATACAGAATATAGAGTCCAGGAACAAATACATATTTATATTATTTACGTATGAAGGAGTTTGGTAATACGACAAAAGTAATATTTCAGGTTAGTGGAAATGGTGTTGGGGCAATTGGCCAGCCTATGGGAAAAAAATTGTTTTGAACTATACTTCACATTAAACACGAAATTTAACTTCAGTTCAGATTAACCAGTTTAAATACAAAACCATAAAAGCTTAATGAGAAATATGAGAGAATACTTTAAAATATTCTTTGGGTAAGGGGCATTTTTTTTACACAAGGCTTAAAATCCAGGAGTCATAAAAGGGAAGATTGACAGATTTGTCTTAATTTAATAATTCTAAATAAAATAATAGATGCCATAAGTAAAACTGAAAGAAAACTTCAAGCCTAGATTCAACATTGCAACATATATGAAAGACTATCACTATTTTCAATATATAAAGAACTCTTAAAATCAATACGAAGGCAATAAGTAACCAAATAGGATCATGAACACAGATAGGAACAGAAAAAGGACACAGACAATGCATGGAAATCCAAGTGACCAAGATACTGAAAAGATGCTC